ATACACACTTTTTTATAAGTTTTCATACACACTTTTTTTAAGTTTTTATACACACTTTTTTTTAAGTTTTCATACACACTTTTTTTAAGTTTTCATACACACTTTTTTTAAGTTTTTATACACACTTTTTTTAAGTTTTCATACACACTTTTTTTAAGTTTTTATACACACTTTTTTTAAGTTTTCATACACACTTTTTTTTAAGTTTTCATACACACTTTTTTTTAAGTTTTCATACACACTTTTTTTAAGTTTTTATACACACTTTTTTTAAGTTTTCATACACACTTTTTTTAAGTTTTCATACACACTTTTTTTTAAGTTTTCATACACACTTTTTTTTAAGTTTTCATACACACTTTTTTTTAAGTTTTCATACACACTTTTTTTAAGTTTTCATACACACTTTTTTTAAGTTTTTATACACACTTTTTTTAAGTTTTCATACACACTTTTTTTAAGTTTTCATACACACTTTTTTTTAAGTTTTCATACACACTTTTTTTTAAGTTTTCATACACACTTTTTTTAAGTTTTCATACACACTTTTTTTTAAGTTTTCATACACACTTTTTTTAAGTTTTCATACACACTTTTTTTAAGTTTTTATACACACTTTTTTTAAGTTTTCATACACACTTTTTTTTAAGTTTTCATACACACTTTTTTTTAAGTTTTCATACACACTTTTTTTAAGTTTTTATACACACTTTTTTTAAGTTTTCATACACACTTTTTTTTAAGTTTTCATACACACTTTTTTTAAGTTTTCATACACACTTTTTTTTAAGTTTTCATACACACTTTTTTTAAGTTTTCATACACACTTTTTTTTAAGTTTTCATACACACTTTTTTTTAAGTTTTCATACACACTTTTTTTAAGTTTTTATACACACTTTTTTTAAGTTTTCATACACACTTTTTTTAAGTTTTCATACACACTTTTTTTAAGTTTTCATACACACTTTTTTTTAAGTTTTCATACACACTTTTTTTTAAGTTTTCATACACACTTTTTTTTAAGTTTTCATACACACTTTTTTTTAAGTTTTCATACACACTTTTTTTAAGTTTTTATACACACTTTTTTTAAGTTTTCATACACACTTTTTTTAAGTTTTCATACACACTTTTTTTTAAGTTTTCATACACACTTTTTTTAAGTTTTTATACACACTTTTAGCAAATCTAAAAGTGTGTGTGAAAACTTTAAAAAATGAAAACTTAAAAAAAACAGACAAAAATTTTGAGCTAAAATTTGAAAGAAAAATTAGAAAAAAACAAAATAGAAATATAATTTGGTTCAACCCTCTTTACAGCAAAAACTTTTCAATATATATTGAAAAAGATTTTTTAAAATTGCTATATTAATATTTCTTTCCAACTAATAAATTGCACAAAATTTTTAACAAAAATTCTATTAAAGTAAGTTATCTGCTGTACAAAAAATATAGAAAGAATTATAAAAGACCACAATGTTGCATTGATTGACAAAAATGAATTTCTCAAAGTAAAAAAATACTGAAAATCATTACCCATATGAATCAAGAAAATTTACTAAACATAAAAACTAAATTCTAATTGCAAGCATGAAAATGAATACTTTTTATAAAATCATAAAAACAAATGACCAAATTAGAATTATCCTTAAGAAACTCAAAAAAATCTTTTTTTACAACTATTTTTTTGAAAAATAATATAGCTTATGTAACTTTCTGGTTAAAGACAATAATTTGCAATTAAACTTTGAATGAATGAATTTGATACTTTGATCTATTTTGCCTACAACACTTTTAAATACATTTTTACAAAAGTTTAAACAATTATTTACATATATTGCCTTCTTTTATATTTATTTACATTTTTATATTATAAATGTAAAAAAAAAATATGCTTAATAGTATTAAATTTTTATGAAGAAACATTTTTGATGGTTTTTAATTGACCTCAATTTTTTAATTTTTTAATTAAGGTCAATTTTTTAATTGACCTCAATTAAAAACAACTTTTTAATTGAGGTCGATAAAAACACTATATATTGTATAAAAAGATTTTAAATAATTATTTTAAAACTTTTAAAAGTTTTAAATTACTTAAAAAAAACTTTTCAACTTTTTTTACATAGATTTCCATATTTTTGTTCATCTAATTTTATATTAAAATTTTTATCACAAAAAACTTTTTGAACTTTTTTTACATAGATTTTGATATTTTTGTTCATCTAGTTTTATATTTTACTTTTTTCACTAAATTATTTTTATGTGTAAATTTTAAATAAATTTATAGTGATTCAAAATTGCATTAAATATGATATTTAAGGCTTTTATACGTGCTCAGCAATAATTAATAAAACTTAAAACTTATAACACAATAGTTTTTAGATAAGAAACTTGCTTGACTTGTTTGACATTCAGATGAATAGAATGTTAGTTAAAAGATTTATTAATAAGACGAATTGATGCTCAAGTTATCGAGATACAGGCTAAATGATAAAATTATGAGTTATATGAATAGATGGCAAATATCTAGTCTTGATTTAATGATGCTAGAAACAAGAAGAAATTGCATAGCCCTGTTACAAATGTTTAGGTGGGAAAATCTTTTATAAATAGTTGGATAGAACTCACCTATAATTTGAAATATTTGGATTTTTGAGATTTTTTTTTAAAAAACAGAATAATAAAGAATTAGAGTTTTTTTACCAAAAAAGATTAAAAAAATTAAAATCAGTCTACAAATTCAAGGTATTACTTGAGATCGCTAAGTATGGGTTACTATAGTGCACCATATAATACTGGTGGGATGCACAATTATATTACATAAAATTACACTTATAGTCTATGAAACATTTTTTTTTTCAAAACACATTACTTATTATAATGTTTCTCGGTTTAATCATGTTTTAAAATGTTTTGTCATAAGCATAACTTTTTTATGTAAATTTATCTTTGTAAAAATGTAAAACAACAGTTTTAAATAATAAAATAAATAAAAATTGTGTATATGTGTATGTGTGTGTATATATATACATACATACATATATATATATATATATATATATATATATATATATATATATATATATATATATATATATATATATATATATATATATATATATATATATATATATATATATATATATATATATATATATTTAATTCCTGGGAAGGCTTGATTTATATATATATATATATATATATATATATATATATATATATATATATATATATATATATATATATATATATATATATCAGCCTTCCCAGGTAAGACGTGTGGTTTTTCATCTTGTATGACCATATGCGATTATAATATTTTAGAAAACATGAACACGGCCGTTTGCAAGTTTTATAATAATGCTGAAAAAGTTTCAAAAACAAAAAAACAAAACTAACAAAATAAAAAGAGATTGAAATAGAAAAAAATAAAAACAAAATAATAATTTAAATAATTTGTGTACTGTGCATTTTTATTTGTGTATTTTTGTTTCTTATATATATATGTAATATCTATATATATATATATATATAGCAGCAATACTTTTAATGCAGCCAGCTGTTAAAACAATCATTGAAGCTAAAGCTAATTATAAAGATTGTTTAAGTAGCCTGAACTGCATTTTAAAGAAACCAAGCAGACATTAATAATTAAGTAGAGTGAGATTTCCATTTTATTATGTCAAAATAGTAAACTGTTGCTTTAGTAGAAGAACGTCTTATTGTAACAAAAACTAGATTAAATTACAGTGCAATAATTTACCCTTATGACGCAATTTAACTTTTTACAATGGAAATATCAAGGTTGTGTTTAGTTACATTTATTAGTGTTACGCGTTTTTGTTATGCAATAATAACTCATAACAAGGCCTGATGGAGAATTAACCTGAATATCTAAAACAGCAATCAAAATTTTTTTTCCAAAAACAGTTAAAAAATTTTACATATTTATATTTAACACTAAAAATTTTTTTTTTATTATTATATATTTACAACTAATAATTATTTGTTGTTATTCAAATAGAGTTTAAAACTTTTATTTCTTTTATTTTTCTATAAAAATATTGAAACTCCAGCTCAATTTTACTCAATTTTTAATAAAATGATTTATGTTTTTTTTTTTTTTTTTTTTTTTTTTGACAATCTCCTAATACACAAAAACTAAGACATTTTCAAACATTTTCAAAAGTTTTTTTATAAACCACCAGTGTACATACAGTTTACAACAGTGTACATACATTTTATCATTAGATTCTAATAATGACATTTTGTTTGCAGTAATTTTGTGAAAAATTCTGTGAGGAGTATTACCTCTTCTTTTATGCTTGCAATTTTTTAGCGCTTTTGAATAGCTGCTTTTTTAAACAATTTTTTAACCATTTAGGCAGGAAAAAAAAGATTTAGATTTTAATTTTAAATTAGTTGAATGATTTTTAAATTAGTTGGATGATAGTTGAATGACCTCGTTTTTAACACCATCACATTAATAATGCATAACATTTTGTTTTTCATATGAAAAACAAAAACAAAAAAACATTTAGGTAATAAATCATGTGTTTAGCTTTGTTCAGTAAAATATTCATACTTATTGCAAAAAAGCTTATTTGCAGTGTTGTGAATGAACAAACAAACAAAAAAATTAATGTTAAATTATAGCAAAGACATTAGATTTTATATAATAGTTTTAGTTGTCTTTTGAGAGGACTAATTGCGACAACCACAATGTAACAACACTGATGATTTTATTTTATGAACACTGATGATTTTATGATATAAAATGTTACAGTGCTACACAACCAAAACTTATAGCAAAGTTTGGGTATTAGGCACATTGAAAACAATCATTATAAACTAATAAAAAAGTTATTATTATTTATATCTAATTGCAGCATCCAATAAACTTCCTGAGAATAAATTTCAGTATAAAAAAAGTTAAATACATTAACATGTGTAGTAGTCATTTACCCCCGGAAAATATATGAAGTAAAAAGAAACTTACAGTTTTAAATATCCACTTTGTGTTCCAATAGCTAACAGCTTAAGTTTTGAATCATATGCAATGGCACTAGGTTTGTGAGGAAACCCATGTTCACATAGCTAAAATAAATAGTAAAATATATAATAATAAACAATATAATAATGAAATGATAACGCATGTTCACATAGCTAAAATAAATAGTAAAATATATAATATATAATATAATAATGAAATGGTAACGCATGTTCACATAGCTAAAATAAATAGTAAAATATATAATAATATATAATATAATAATGAAATGGTAACGTATGTTCACATAGCTAAAATAAATAGTAAAATATATAATAATATATAATATAATAATAAATGTTTTATACACAAAAAAAAAAATAAGTAAAAATATATAAAATAATAAAAATTTAAAAATTAGATTATTAACTCTTTGACTGCCGATTGTGGCTTTTTTCAATGAAGTGCACGACCGTGGCTTTTAAAACTGATCTTTAAAACTATAATCTTTATTGCAAAAATTATTGTTTTCTATTTTATTGTATCAAATTATTGTTTTTCATATCATTCAATATTTACACAAAAAGGGCTTAAAATTTTTGTTTATAAATTTTGTAGATGTTATAAAATGAAAAATGCATCAAATCTCAAAATTGTTTTTTTTTTCTGTTTTCGGTTTTTTTATTTGAACTTTTCTAAACATCTTTTAATTTTATCAAGCAGTCAAAGGGTTATTTACTAAAGTCCGCCGAAACGAGGAGGTACCGCTGCCCAAATTTTTTTCCTAGAATAGGCCCTGATATATATATATATATATATATATATATATATATATATATACATACATACATCATATTCTTTAAAATATGATGTTTTAAATTTAAACTTTGCTAAACTACGTTATCATGTCTTTAAGCTAATTTTAGGTTTTATATGTTTTCATTTTAGTTACACTTTTTGTTTTATTTCAAATTAGATAATTATGATGAATTATGATGTATAATTATGATGAATTTTGACTTTATAGAAGACTTTGCAATGTTTTAATGATTTTCTGATCACACTTGTTTCTGTTTTTGTGCAACCATTATATAAATATTATATAAAATTATTATTATTCCTTATTGTGACTATTGTATAAATAAAAAAATATATTTATTAGTTATATAAATTAAATTTATATACTAAAAATCTCTATTTTATTATTTATATATCTAATTCAGACTGGAACAGCAAAGGTGTGTGATCGCACTCCAATCTTGACCACGCTTGCAATTGTTTTTTTTGAAAGCTTGACCACGGCTTTTTAGATAATTAAAAAAGCGCTGAAAAAAAGCGACAAAAGAAAAAAAATTTAAACAGGCTAAACTATATATAAAAAAGAGAAATCTTAACAAGTGAGAAATTTAAAAAAAAATTAAAACTAATAGATAAGCAAATAAAAAAAAATAATAATATAAATAATGTTAATTAAATAATAAAAAAAATAAAAAGATTTTTTTAAATTCTCCTAACAGAGTTATTAACCTTTTAAAAGCAATGCGACTAATTATAAATTTTCCCTGACTATAAAACTTTGATCTTTTCTAATGTTGTTATAGGCGAACTCTTTTAAATAAAAAAAAATTTAATTTTAGTTTAATAAAAAACAAAAATTTATATGATCAAAAAGTATTTATAAAGTAAGTTTATTGAAACGGATTTGCTGTCGCCGTTGTTTATTATATTAAAAATACAAAGTGTTTTAAACATATTACATTCATCATTAAAAAAATACTTTAGAAATAAAAGTTTTTAATACTCTATGATAATTTAATTAACAGCGTTTTAAAACTTTATTTGAAAACATTTAGCTTAGTGTAAATAAATTTTATTAGAAAGTTTACATAATATAACAGAAAAAAGAAATAATAAAAAAAAATAAAAAATAACTTGAGGTTTTTGACTAATTAATCTATAGATTCCACAAAAAGTTTATTTTAAAAAATCGTTTTCATTGTTGTTTATAAAATTAATTGTACAAAGTTTTTAAAAACATTTATATTCATCATAATAAATAGATTTTTTAACGATATCTTTCAATAATTTATATAAATGTTTTTTATAGTAAACAACCTTTAAAAGCAATTTTTTGCCCAATTACCTTATACTTTATTTAGCGCATTTTTCAAAACTTTAGCCGTGGTTAAGTTGTTGTAAAAAAACAATAAATGCGTGGGCAGGAATTGAGTGGGATTGAACACCTTTCCTGTCGATGTCTGATCTAAATAATCTTTTACTTAATATATTATATTAGGCTTTATCCTTCAAAACAATCAATTTTTAATATAAGGGAATTATAAGGAAAAAAATACCAAAATGTCTTTTTTGCTATTAAAAAAATAAAAAAATCATTTTTACATAGATCATTTTACATATCAATTTTTTTTTTGTCAAACTAATGTTTTAATAAATAATTTGGATAAACGACAGTATATTTTACGGATATTTGACAAATTGTTATCTCTTGTTCGCAACTAGAACAAATAAGTCTAGTCACTAAGGGAACATATTTAACCATAGACGACTAAGAAAAAAGTAGTGATTGATTATATTAGATAAAGTATTAATGTACTAGTTATACTATTTTAGACAGATGTTCAGTGTTATAGCAGGTAATTAAGAGAAGTGAGAACAGTATATCCGCCTTAATACTAAATAAATTTTTTCTTTGCTTGTTTTACAGTTATTTTGTTTTAGAAACCAGCCAAAACCATGACACAGTTGTACATATTTTGTGACTATTAGAGTTCGCAGCCAGAGGAAAAAAATCAAGGCAGTATGATGTGGTTTCTCGCTTTATATTTAGTTTATATGGTTCAATAGAGTTGTTTGTTTTATGTTTAGTTTACATTTAGTTTATATGGTTTAATGTGATTTTTTGTTTTACATTTATAATATAACTAACTTTTGTATATTTTAGTACAAATATTTGTTTTAACTTTAATTTAGTTTGATTTATATAATTATTAGTAAAAAAATGTGTTTCTATTTAGTTCAATTTATATGGTTTATTCAAGCCACTCATTTTTTATTCAGTTTATACTTTAAATTATTTTATATGTTTTAATTAAACTATTCTTTTAATATTTAGTTTAAACCAGTACAGTTTACTGCAAATTTTCGTTATATACTAAATTAATATTTTATGTTGTATGGTTTAGTGACGTTATTCTTTTTTTTTTTTAGTTTATATTTATTTAAATTGAAACAGTTTATTGAGATTCTAGTTTGTTCTAGTTTTTGTTTATATTTAAATTAAGTGTTTGCAATGTGATGCAGCTGTTTGTTTTGTATTTAGTGCATATATATTTAAATTTAATTCACATTTATTTATTGGAAATATTTGTTTTACATTTATTTGTTTTATATGGTTTAGTGGTAATATATCTGTTTTATGTTTAATTTTTATTTAATTTTACTTAATTGATACTATGTAGTCTAATTCTTTAGTTTAAAATTAATTCACATTTAATTTGCACAGTTCAAGCACATAGTAAATTTAATACATGGGAAAAGTAAGTTTAACACTTTCAACCAAAACAAATATTTTTTGAAAATTGTTTTAAGTTACTTTAATTTATGAACAAGTTCAAAACTTTTTTTGACGATTTGCTTAGAACTTGTGTAGGAACATTTTATATGAATTATACAAGAGTATAAAATAACTTTATTTACTTATATAAGCATGTATTTTATTGATTAATGGAAAAATTTTGAAGTATTTTGTAATGCTCATATGATTAATTTTTATAATTAATTTTTAAACCTTATTAATAAGCGTTTCATGTAACGAATTTAAAAATTATTATTTTTTCATAATAATTTTTAAATTCGTTACATGAAAAGCTTATTAATAAGGTTTTTTTAACTTGACTTACTAATTAGAGAATGAAATTATTAAAAACTACTATTTTAAAAAGACTATATTATTTTTTTAAACAATTTTTTTTTTCTGCAACTTTTTTGAAATAATGTTTATACAATTTAAAAATATTATATAAACCACTTTTTAATAAATTTGAAAAAATTGTTCACTTAATAAACAAAACAATTAGTAGTAATTTCTAGGGATGTACCGAAGCTAATATTTTGCCGAAGCCGAAGCTTCGGCCAAAGCCACTTTGCCGAAGCCGAAGCTTCGGCCAAAGCTGAAGCTTCGGCACTATATACGCTAAAAATTTAATCAGCATTCAGATCAGCAGGAGTGTAAAACAAAAAAGGTACCAAAACTAAGGTCCTTGATTAATAATATAGAAAAATTGTATAAAAATGAGGACGCCAGTCAGGGTTGCTGTCCCAGGCAGGGCAAAAGCTCTCAGCGCCCCTGTTAAGTTTCTCATTATGTCGTTTCTGATACTTGACCGCACCGAGCATTTTTTTAAATTAAACTTTTTTGAAACATTCTCCCCAAATTTTTCTACTTCTAGTTCTACTTTTTCTGTGTGCAAACCATATTAATGTTATATAGCATATTTTAATGTGCTGTATATTTTATTTTTATTTTTAATGCACCTTTTGTTAATAAAAGTGGATAAAAATCTCTGAACATTACTAGAGTAAATTTATCTTTTGCACTTGATCACTCTTTCTTTAAATAAACACTCTTAACTGATCTAGTTGTATCTACAACATAAAAAATTTTACAAACACACATTATCTTTTTATTGCTATTTATTTTTTCTACTTCTCTGCATTTATTAAACGAACATTTTCTAAACTAAAAAAAACCCAAGTTAAGACCATTTTGTATTCCACTACAACTGTTGTGAACCTAGTGCTAAAAAAAAGTACAAATGATAGATTTCTCTCTAACTTCTTTTTTACACACTTTTAAGTATTTTTTTTTTTTTTGATTATTTTTAACATTACACTACATAACATTTTCTTTAGCTTCTTTTAATCTTTTACACTCTGAAATCTTACTATTCATTCTTCTTCTGTCTCTGTAATGGATAAATCTGCATCAGTATTTGAAATCAAATATTAACTATCTGTGATAAAAGCTTCAACTCTATAGAGTGAGCTTTAAATAAAATAATAAATAGAATACTTTATAAACTTTTTATTTATAATTATATTATTATTTACTTTATATCTATAAACAGGGACTTAGCAGGCTGATATTTATTTGATTTAAATTGTTTATTTAATTTAAATAAATTTTGATGATAAATATAAGAGCTCAAAGTAATCAAAGCTTCAACCTTTAATGTATTTTAAATAAAATTTAAAAGTCTTCATAATATCATAAGAAGAAGTCAGAATATAGGTTTACATGTTTAATATATAAATTCAATTTAGAAGTATTCATAATGTTAATAAAATAGCAAGGATAATTATTATCATTGTTTTTCTTTTTCTTTTAATTTATCTAGTTTTTGTTGACTTTTTTTTTTCATTTTTTATTCTCCTCATTTATATTTCATTTGCTTTTCTTCCTTTTTGTTGTTGAGAACTTTACGTTTTTTATGTGTCACTCCATTGACTAGTTTGTGTCTATATAAGTGACACCCAGTAAATTTCTGTAAATTTACGATGAAAATTTGTAAATTTTTATCAATATGGTTAAATAAAATGTTAAAAAATTAAACATACACACAATTTAAAATAGTAGCCACGTATCTTTAATCTTCTTTAAAGAGAGATTACTAAGGTTTATAGGTGAAACTGAATTTTGTTCTATTTTTCTTATTTTAAATTTTATTTCTATTATTTTAATTATTATCCCCTCCATAACACAACACTTGGGAGTAAATAATAATAAGTATAAGGTATAGATTCCAACTTTAACTCGGTAGTCCTGAATTTATAACTTAATTAGACACTGGCAATTAGCGTATTTTTATAACTTTTCCAACTGTAGCTTAGAACTTTTATTACTTAAAACTTTTTGCCGAAGCCAAAGATTCGGCAAAAAATTGACCTGGCTTCGGCCGAACCGAAGCTTCGGCAAAATTGCCAAAGCTTCGGCATACCGAAGCCAAAGCCGAAGCTTCGGTACATCCCTAGTAATTTCTTACTTAATTTAAAAGCATTTTGCATAACTTTAATAAAATGTTTAAAAAGATAAGTTTTAATAACACATATTTCAAACACAATTAAAAACATAACAAAAGGTTTCATTTTAAGTTTAAGTACTTTTTAAGTATTTTTTTAATTTTAGTTCTTATATATTTTCTTTTTTATTAACGAATTTTTTTTCTTTATTATTATTATTATCATTTTTTTAGTTTAAGTTGAGCTTAGCATTTTTACCATAAAACCATATAAGCAATCATGGACAAGTTGTCAAAAAAAATCATTTGCATGATGAGCAATAGCGCTCGATTGCACGCCATTTCTCCCCAAGCCTGAACTATAAGTGGTTCAACTGTTTAATTTATTATTGGTGTAAATAATTGTCATAATTTTATCAATAAATTTTGCAGAAAATAATACAATTATAAATGATTGCCATTATTTTGGCAAGGATAATGTGATTAAGCAATTAATTTAATATTACAAAATTCCTCACTTTTTTAGACATAAAACACAACAACAAGCAGCATTATTATAACAAAAAACGAAAACAAATGCATTATAATCATAACAAATATGCGTAGAAATGCCTAAAGAAACAGTATAAAAATATATCAGTGTTTAATAAATTCGTAAATTATGTAGTATAATACCAGATTCTCATCAGGAAATGGATATAGTATTGACCCTAGTAAGGATTCCATGCTCTGGTATGTGGCACTTCGAATGTTTTAATGCTCAGTCCTAATAACCCTGTGGATTATCATCCTCAAAACAAGCAATTTTAAAGAAATTTTATCACTTTTCAACAGCCTCTCTAATTAAAATCTGCAATGCAGTTATTATTTAGTTTTAATCAAAAAAATTTAGACCAAATTCAACACAACTTATCTTGGCTCTTAGGGATTCCATTAAGTTTTTTAAATATAAGTCTAAAAGTTACAATTCAAATTAAAAAAAGTAATTCAAAAAACCATTATTGGTTCTTTAAACATTATTTATTTTGTAATGTTTATATAACATAACTTTTAGGGGGTGGCTATTTTTAAATTTAAATATTTTTTTTAGTTAATTTTTTTAGAATATTAGTCTTACACTATTTTAATTTATGTAAGTATTATGAAATTAGGTTCTAAATTGATATCCCAGCAACCCAATTTTTTTTAACTACACAAATTTGTTAAAACTTTTTCTCACTTTTAAACAGTCTCTCTAAAAATTACTTTTTATTTTTCAAACAGCATGTTTTGTAAAATATATAAATTTGCATAATGAAATCTATGACAAACTTTACTAAAATTAAATATTTTATACTATTTTGAAAACAATTTGAACAATTTATTATTTACATATATTTAAATTAAATAAAAAAAATTTAATGCAAAAACACTTAACTTAGCAAAAATACAAGCCTGCTTAAATGCAAATAGCAAATGTATAAATTTAAAGATTTTAAAGGGAAATCGAAATGATCTGTATATTAGTTATTGATATATTTTTAATGTTTAAATTCCAATAGCAATTAAATCAGCATAAAAAGATTTCTATTTCAATCAATTAAATTGAATTGTTAAATTAAATTAAACTTAATTGAATTCACTAATCAATAGTGTAGTGTAACGTAAACACATTTTGCTGAATACTTGATGATGTTTATTTACCAAAGACTTGTCTCTCACCTTAAAAAACTTAAACAAATCGCTTCCCAACTTATCCTTTTCTGGCGCTTTTCTCCGAAGATTCTTTAACATGTTTATCTAAGGTGCAAATGGCATTACCAATCAATACTTTAGCTAAAATATTAAAACGCCCTTCTACCATCTTTGTTTTTGAATGTTTATTCTGATGGAGTTTACTCTCCGAAAAATCGCAGACCACGAGGAAATTTTCCGATTTGGATTTGTTTTTATTTTTTGAAAAAATAAATGTTGCGAGCGCAAAAACAACGCAAGTTTTTTTGTTGGAAAATATAGGTCAAAAATCAATAACTTTTTTGTTACTAAAGATTAAGTGTTAAAATTTTGCAACAATGTAAATTAGTATACGACGATTCGAAGAAAATATTTTTTATAGAAATTAATTTAAATATAAAATTTGTAAATAAAAAACTTCAAAATTGTCATTTTTATTTTATTTTCAATTAGACATGTTTTTTTTAATCACATGAAAAAACTTTTAAAATATTCGAAACTGCAAATAATACATAAAATTTTTATTTAATTGGAAATATATTCATATAAAATTTATATATATAAAACATTTATACGAGCTTTCAGCTAAACTCTTGACAAAAAACAAACACGTACTTTTAAATTTTTTAACAAACATTTTCGTTATATTAGGATTAATTGCTTTATAAATTTGATTTTTTAATTGTTGCATGTAATTAATTAATTTACATATATTTCAACATTTACATGAACATTTTTAGGAATTTATGAAATTCTTATTACAGAAATATTCAGAATAATTTATCAATAACAATTTTTAAATAGTGAGTTTTTATGGAATAAAATATAGGTCAACTTTCAAAAGCTGCAAAGTATCTTCATCAAGTTCTTGGACATTTTTGCTGTATGGTTTTCTAATGCAGCAGGTATACGTCCTCATTTGTAGCTAATCTAGAATATTTCCTGGCATGATGAAGGCGAAGTTTTTTATAACCTTTACGGGATTTTTGCGCACCTTCTGAAAGTTGATCAATAGGCAGTACTGCAAAACGTATTAAAATAATACGTAACAAAACTTTGTGTACTGAAGACAAGTAGACAAGAAGACACATGTCTTCTTGTCTACTTGTCTTCAGTACTAACTATAATTACTCACGTTGTTTGCAGTTTCTTTAGCATATGTACCAAAACTTTCAGCGTTTATCATAACACTTGAGGATAGTGTTTGTAGAATTATGTAAAATAGCTTAATCAAATTTTTATTTACTCCAGTGATTTTAAAAGAGCAGCTTGTACTGTAAAAAAATCTCCTAGCAGAATTACCATCATTGATATTACCACTTATTTGCTTTAGTTTGTCGACGATTAATTCAAGCTGCTCACGAAAACGTTTCTGTACCAAGGTCTTCTCTTCCTTTTGAGGTTTTTTTTCTTCACTTTTAGCTGACCATGTTTGGAAAGACAGGTTGTTGGAAATATCTAATATTATTTCCATACACCGAATCGAGGCATGCAATGTAGACAGTCCGTGTTGATAAAGACTTTCATATTCAGCAAACACTTTAGTCAAATCGTTCATTTGTCACGAATTTTCTTCATAAATTATTCATGTAGACGCAGAAGGCATACCCGTTAATACCTGAGCCACTTTTTTATCTATTATTGTTAAAAAAAGTTCATATTTCACTTGTATCCCTTTACAACTTTTGTTAATTATAGATGACTGTAATCAGTATATTTGGCTTTTTATTTCATCTGAAACAACCTTAGTTTTCTCAGGAGTCTCTTTGCAAAATTTTATGCATATAGGTCAACAAAAACGTACAGACGAAAAAGCCGGACTTTGCCAAACAACTGCGCCAGTTAACTAAACTGATCGGTACCAAAGAACTAATAAATAACTTTGCATAAAAAATAAGTTCAGATTCCTTTGGAAGTTTTTGCTTTCTATTCGCTTTGGCCAGAGGAGCCATCTCAACCTCATTTTCTATACAAAACTAAATGTTTAAATTTATTTTAAACTTATTGTACACGGAATCTAGAAAAAAAATTCTATCTACAGTATCATCCAATAACTCATGCATTTCCATAATTTTTGTATTTGTAAAGTCTATTACAGTATTGCAGAAAATTGTGGATAGCAGGTCTGTTTATTTTCTTGCAATTTGTGATATGATGGGAAAAAGGAACAATTTTTTTCGTCTGTCAACTTCCTCAAGTATAAATATTGTGCTTTAATTAAATCTAAATCAACAAACACGCTGAGTGCGTCTTCATCTGTCAGTAAAACGTTTGTGTTTTCCATAAAACTTGAAACATAGATCTTTTTTTCTTTTTGGACAATCTTTAATGCTTTCTTCTCCTATTAAATCTTATGCCTGAAGATATGCATTAAAGATGTGCTCGAATACAATTTCCTTAACTAATGTGAAATTTTTTCATTGTTAGCTGGTCTCTTACAAATTTCCATAAGACATGCACGGTCATTCACGTTTTTCAAATGATGTAGATAGCGTGGGGTCTGTTGTTGCGTTTTTTGATTTCAGTAAAAATACACTATATTCAGAATCTAACCAATTACTGTTTTTAAATAAAAAAAGAGGATCAAGACGTTACTTTCCGTGAAGCCTTGGTCTATCGTTTATTAAACTATGGAATAATGTGCCTTTGAATATCTATAACTTTATTTTTAAATTATTGATATTGTCTCAATTGAACACTTTGAACACTTAAAAGTTGTCATTTTAAAAACTAACCGAACTAGGTTAAAGTAAGGTGATTTCGCAAATTTCGAATAGTTTCCCACAATATAAATTAAATTTATGTCATATATAATAATATTATGCATACAATAATATATATATATATATATATATATATATATATATATATATATATATATATATATATATATATATATATATATATATATATATATATATATATATATATATATATATATATATATATGTATGTATACATATATATGTATACATATATATGTATATATATATATATATATATATATATATATATATATATATATATATATATATATATATATATATATATATATATATATATATATATATATATATATATATATATATATATATATATATATATATATATATATGGGCGCCAAACGTTGTATGCAAACTTTAACAATATAATAAATAGAAAAAATAAGTCAACCTTAATTTTTTCGATTTCGATTTTCGATTTTTTGTTATTTTTTCGAATGTTTGTTTTTTTTATAAAAATAATTTCTTTAAATAATTTATTTACTGTATTATTACATTGTTAAAAATTCTTTATGCAAAAATAATAATTTGATTATAAGTGTTTCAATCATAGAATATATATTTTGTTACTTAAATTCATTTTTTTACTAGTATCTTTCTCGGCGCCAATTATTTTTATAATTATTCAACCAGCGATGAAGAAGACGGAATAGTGTCAGTTGGAAATGTTCACTACGATGAAAAAGATATCGATAACGAAAATGATGATGGCCAAGATGGTGATGTAAATGATCGCACCAAAGAAACAGCAATCGATTACTCAGACTGTGGTTTGTGGCCAATTCATCGCAACATTCAATTTGTTGATTATTTAATTAATATAGGTGCAATACAAGTGAATTTGGACACATATCCACGCAATAATAGAAGACGACATTTTTCAAATGCTTATTACAGCCGAAAACTTTCAAATGGTAAGGTTATTTCACGACGTTGGCTTGTGTACTCAGTTTTTAAAGATGCGGTATTTTGTTTTTGCTGCAAACTTTTTGATTTCAACATGAATTTAAAGTTAAACGGAAATGAATTCAATAAATGGAAGAATTTAACAGAAGCATTAAAAATTAACGAAAATAGTAAGTCACACAGAATTGCTTATCAACTATGGATTGAGACAGAAATACGAATGAAAGCTATCGATAGTGAAACTAGTGAAACTATCGATAAACAAGAGCATAAACTAATCGAAAAGGACAATTTAAGGTGGCGAAGTGTTCTTGAACGATTAATGAACATTACTTTATACTTGGCAACAAATAATATGGCCTTCAGAGGTTCTTCTGATAAATTGTATGCAGTTAATAACGGCAAAATTTCAGGATTGATACAATTACTCGCTAAATTTGATCCTTTCATGTTAAACCACGTCACGCTTGCTCTTATAGGAGATATTTCTGATCATTACTGTGGAAAAACCATTTAAAATGAAATGATAGATATAATGGCATCAAAAGTAACCAACATAATTATATCCAAAGCTCTAAAAAGTAAATATTATTTTATTATTGCTGACTGCACTCCTGACGTATCTCACAAAGTACAGCTCTCGCTTACGATTGGAATTGTAAATATATCAGAATATCCTATAAAAATAAATGAACACTTTCTTGGGTTTTTCAATGTTAACGACACGACAGGTCTTGGTTTAACAGAAATCATAATTAGAGCTTTAATTTGGGACTGAACATAAGCTTTTGTCGAGGGCAAGGTTACGATAACGGTGCAAATATGAAAAGTAAAAAAATAGGTCTACAAAAGTGAATATTAGATTTGAATCCTTTGGCTTTTTACCTTCCATGTGGAAGTCATTCTCTCAATTCGGTTATTTGTGACGCAGCGCAGTCTTCACTAAATTCCATTAACGTTTTTGGCATAATACAAAGATTATTCACATTATTTTCTGCATCAACTTCACGCTGGAATGTTTTACTTAGTCATACAACAAACTTCACTCTTAAACGATTATGCGACACTCGTTGGGAAGCCAAAATTGATAGCCTCAAAGCCATCCAAATAAGCAGCGTTCATGATGCTTTAATTACTATATATGAAACTGAAACCAAAACTCCCGATATTGCACACGAAGCGCAAACATTAGCAGAACAATTAAAAGACTATAGTTTTTTAGTTTCTTTAATTGCATGGGTTAATGTACTATTTTAAATAAACGTTGTTAGTAAAGCAATGCAAGCCGAAGACATGGATCTAGTACAGTGCACTGAAATGTTGAAAAAATGCATCACATTTTTGGAAAGTTACAGAACGTTTGGCTTTAAACAAGCAACGGTTGATGCCAAAGAGTTAGCTGAAGAGTTAAACATCGATGCAATATAATATAAGAGTCCGACGAGTGAAACGTCATTATGATGAATATGCTGCTGACGAACCAATTCAAAATCCCGAGAAGAAACTTGAAGTGACATTTTTTAACCCTTTATTAGATACATGTCTGTCGACAATAAATGAAAGATTTGAACAACTTAATGAATATGTATGGAGTTTTTTATTTAATTTGGATAATTTGCCCATCAAGAATGAAATTTTAAAATTGTGTAAACAATTACAAGAAAAATTAACTGCAAATACAAAATCAGAAATTGATGGTGTTTTGCTATGCGACGAACTAATAAGTGTGCAGTTTTTTATTAAAGATAAATTAAGCAATGTTGAAAATGAAATAAATACAAAAGAGATAACACCACTTTTTGTACTGAATTTTATTAAGAAACATTGTCTACAAGAGTTATATTTAAATACGTGGATTGTTCTGCGCATTCTTCTTACAATACCTGTTACTGTTGCTAGTGGAGAACGTAGTTTTTTCTAAACTGAAGTTAATCAAAACATATTTAAGAAATGTTGCAAGATCGACTTAATTCTCTCAATCGAGCAAGATAAAGCTGAAAATTTAGATTTTTCTAGTTTGATAAGAGATTTCGCGGACAAAAAAGCTAGAAAAGTTAGATTTTAAAATTTAATAATTCTTGTTTATATAGTTAGAAGATTTATTATATGTTCAGTAAAAACATTTGTTATTTTAAAAGCAGCGTTGCGTTGTCTATTTATTTTGTCACTCATTTCTATAAACCCATATCATGAAAAGTCTAAGTTTATAATTTTAATAAAAAATTAATTAAATAAGAAACTTGATGCACAATATGGATCTCTTTGCATTAAACTATATATTCCCTTTAGCACTCTTGTTCATCATTTTAGAGCATTGGTCTCGTTGTTATTGGTAACAACCCACCCATATATACCTAGGGGCGCGTTCACAAGTTTTGCCCAACCTGTCAAAAAAGCTAAGGCTATATATATATATCTTTAGGAGTCATTTTTTGTTATACAATATGTTTATAAAAATATAAATTGATCTCAATAAAAAAGGCAGCGTATAACTATTTTTTAAATATATTTTGATATAATAATATATTAACGATATTTTGCTGACCTATTGTGGTCAGCGTTATCAGATAATAAAAAAACGTTACAAAATAATAAAAAGCAACCGTTTAAAAAAAGAAGACATTAAAAAACGTAAAATATAAAAACCAATCAAATAATATAAAAGTAACGTCAGTTATATTTTTGTAAAAACTGGTCCCCAAGTTTTTGTTTACATATTATCCCCGTCATCTCTATTTAGAACAGTTTGCCCAATACCTATCTCGTGTCGAACTTTTGCTTTATTTATCTCCAACGATTCTCTAACTTTTCTTATCTTGTATTCTGGAATGACTGCCAAGGTCTTAGGATTCAGCCAATCAAAAGTACCACGACATGTTCTAGAATGTTCCGTGGCTCCTGAACTCGACCATTTTTGATTTTTACAGGCTCTTTGGTGGTCCGCACTTCTTGAAGTGATTTTCGTTTTAGTCTCACCAATATATATACTTCCACATGAGCATTGAAGCTCGTAAACACCCGGATTTGAGGCCATAGGTTTTTTTTGTTTTGTTATGGCATAGTATGTTATCTAAATTATGGGATGAATTAAAAATAACTCTGATGTTTTGTTTTCTATGTTTTCTTCGGAGTTTAGGGCCAATAATAGGTATCCAAGGTAGTTTAACAAATTGCCTATCCAATTGTATAGATGTAGTACTTTATGAAACGCGGTCTAAATTTTTTTATTTTTTTATTTTACTTCACCTCCTCAAGGCCGAGAAGGCCACTACAGATGAGGAGGCTACTTATTTTATGGCTATAACCCTCTCTCAACTCTATAACTCCGAAACAGGAACCTTGACGAACAAGGCCGCTGCGCGGAGAAACGAGTTGAGCGCGGTACTACCAGGGACGTGGTGGGGATCGAACTCGGAACCACTCGTTTATGAAGAGAGCGCTCTACCACTACACCACTACCGCATTAAAATAGTTTTTGGTTATTTTAATAAGATAACTTTTGTTATAACCGTTTTGAAAGAATGTATCTATGAGAAAATCAATTTCTTGTGAGAGATGTTTTTTAGAGCAGATTTGTTTTGCTCTACATAGAAATCTTTTAAAGACGCCAGTGGTTATGCTTGGGTTGATGTTAGAATTTGGTTTTAGTTGAACATTGGTTATTGCATCCTTACGGTGTACTTGAAATTCATAAAATCCGTATTTGTAATAGAAATATCTAAAAAGTTTAGTTGTTTTCTTTCGTTTTCAAGTTCAACAGTATATTTTATGCAGGGGTTTTGTTCATTTAAAGTTTTAAAAAACAGTTCTTGTTTTTCTTTCGAATCGAAACCAGCATGGGTATTGTCTACATATCTTTTGTAAGTTATTGGTTGGAATGAATTAACAAAGACTATATAAAGGGCTCTTTTTTCTATATTTTGAAAAAATGCTTCAGCTATGACTACCATCAACGATAAACCAATTGGACCTAAATTAGTTAAAATTCGGATTATATCTTCGTATAAAAAGTAACATTTGCTTAATGAAAGTTCAATTAACTGGTGTATATCTAAAAGAGTTAATTTAGTCCTAATTTGTAAATCCTCCAAATCATCGTTCAATATGTTAACAATAACCGGTATTGCTTCATCGATCGGTACAGATGAATATAAGTTCACTACATCAAATGAAACTTGAATTTCATTAGGGCCTATCTTCTATTCTTTAGCATTGTTGACAAAACTACTTGAATTAATTAGTCGAGTTGTATTTTTATTTAATGTTGGTTGAATAATTTTAACCAGATACTCTGATGTTCCAAAAGGTGGTGTGTTAATAGTGGCACCAACAGAGCGCATTGGGTAGTTTTTTTCTGGTTTGTGAGCTTTAACCATTCCGTAGATTCTAGGTAGAACGCAATCTTATAGATACATTTTAAAGTAAGTGGCATTGTATAACTTACCCTGTTTTGTTAATTTGCATAACAGTTTTTGAAATTTAGTAGTGAAATTTAGTTGGGTCGTAATCAAAAACTTTACCATTTTTTATTTGTTTCTCTAATTTCTCTTTTGCTTCATTTTCCTATAATAAAGCAAAACCTGCTCCTTTATCAAATAGATATATCTTTAGATGTGAATGTTTTTTTAGGTTTTGTAAAGAAAAGCGTTGTTTTGTTAAATTATCTTTTAATTTTAATTTTAAAGAACTAGTTTCGAACAGTTTTGTCGAAGAATTTCTGTTTATTGTGTTTTTTTATTTGTGTTACTCTGTGTTTGTTTATTTTGTTGTTCCAGTTGTAAGGCAAAAGTTTCAATATTAGTAATGATATCCATATAAGGGATATTTTTTTGTGATGGGACAAACTTTGGACCAAGATTAAGTAGTTCAGTGGTTGCCTTATCTAGATTAATATTTGTTAAATTTAGTATAGCTAATTTTAAAATTTGATTAGGAAGATTTTTTTTTTAAATTAATTTTATAATTGATATTATTTTGCAATTTATTGTATTTTTCCTTCAAACAAAGGGTTCAATTTTTTCCAAAGTGATGAAGATTATGAAACGACTTCATATCAGGCGGTACGACATTTGCTGTTTTTGCAGAATGGTTTGAATGAAGCCATTTCTGTGGTACCCTCGTAAGAGCATTGGCTTTATTTTCTGATGACTTAACCAGGAAAAGTTTTAATTGTATACCGCACTCTTTCACAAGGTCTTTAAATAACGACAACCGGCGACGGACAAGTGGTTCTCCAAGACCGTGTACTCGAACGGGTTTGTCGCCGATAATTAAGGATATCAACCACCCGACAACAGTAGCCAAGTTACACTTTATGGTAATACATTTGAATCCCCACTTTGTTGCTAGATTAATTCATTTTATCACAGCTTCTAACTCTGTGAGATTAATTTGAGCCGCATCATCTTGTTTTCTCAACCACGAACAGTCTTCTACTATTTCCGTGTAATTTTTCTTTCAGGAACTTTAGGTATGCTGTCACGTTTACAATAGACTTGGTTGCATTGTTTTTACACT